TGAGAGGATACCACAGAGGAAGCCACTGCTGTCCAAACAAAACATTGCTGCACATTTACAGTTTGCACAAGAGCACCTGGATGTTCCACAGCAGTACTGGCAAAATATTCTGTGGACAGATGAAACCAAAGTTGAGTTGTTTGGAAGAAACACACAACACTATGTGTGGCGAAAAAAAGCCACAGCACACCAACATACAAAACCTCATCCCAACTGTGAAGTATGGTGGTGGGGGCATCATGGTTTGGGGCTGCTTTGCTGCGTCAGGGCCTGGACGGATTACTGTCATCGAAGGAAAAATGAATTCCCAAGTTTATCAAGACATTTTGCAGGAGAACTTAAGGCCATCTGTCTACCAGCTGAAGCTCAACAGAAGATGGGTGTTGCAACAGGACAATGACCCAAAGCATAGAAGTAAATCAACAACAGAATGGCTTAAACAGAAGAAAATACGCCTTCTGAAGTGGCACAGTCAGAGTCCTGACCTCAACCCAATTGGGATGCTGTGGCATGACCTCAAGAAAGCGATTCACACAAGACATCCCAAGAATATTGCTGAACTGAAACAGTTCTGTAAAGAAGAATGGTCAAGAATTACTCCTGACCGTTGTGCACGTCTGATCTGCAACTATAGGAAATGTTTGGTTGAAGTTATTGCTGCCAAAGGAGGTTCAACCAGTTATTAAATCCAAGGGTTCACATACTTTTTCCACCTGCACTGTGAATTTTTACATGGTGTGTTCAATAAAAACATGGCAACATTTCATTCTTTGTGTGTTATTAGTTTAAACAGACTGTGATTGTCTATTGTTGTGACTTAGATGATGATCAGATCACATTTTATGACCAATTTGTGCAGAAATCCATATCATTCCAAAGGGCTCACATACTTTTTCTTGCAACTGTACATGTGAAGAGTTATTCTGGGATTCCTGATGGATGTCAGTGTTACAAATGGTTTGGAAATAGCAAATTGCTACATCTACTTATAGCCCTATAACTTGCAAAACAAAAAGCTAAGAACATGTTAACATTGGGTATTTCTAAACTCAGGACAAAATTTAGAAACTATTTAGTGCCGTTGTTTTTTTGGAGGTTGTAGATGAGTAAGAAAAATGGTATATAATTTTTGTGGGTACAGTAAATGAGTAAGATGAAAATTACAGCTAAACACAAACAAAGAAATGTAAAAACAGCCCTGGTCCCAAATTAAAAAAATGGTCTGGTCACTAAGGGGCTAATAGTACAATTTACTAGAGCAGTGGTAAGAAACTCCAAATGTTGTAGACTACATCTTTCATAATTTTCTTACAGCCATAATGCTAGTCCTCAATTCCTGGAATGCCGAATGCTACCCATCCCTGTGCTAGAGTGAGAATGCTAATTGAATTTCAAATTTAAGGCCAATAAAGCTAAACCAACAGGGTTATTTACTAAAGTCCGATTGACCCCGAACCAAATGGGGCAAAAAAAATCCATCCTCAAGTGGGGCTTTTCGTACTGCAAAATCTGAGCATTGTAAATTGAAATCATAAACATACGGATATTGTAATTCAGGCCCTGAACAGGCCCTGACATTTAGCCAGAATTTTAGCTGGGTCAAAATCCACTAGAAAGCTCTATCTAGATCTAGGCGAAATTAATTAAATCTTGACTCAGATCATTTAATTTTGAGCCAGGATTTAAAAAAATTTGAATGATTTGACTAGTAACCAGCAGGTGAATAGTAAAAAAGCCTTAGTGTTGTAAGGGTTAATTATGTAGCGACTGGCTTGAGCTTGCTAGTCAGTTGCCACATTAAAATAGAAAAAAAATCCTTTGGGCTTCAATAAGACTCCTATATTGCTGTAATGGAGGTACAATAAGGCGGGTGGGGGTCCTAGTACTTAAAATCAAAAGGGTCTATTGTCCCTGGGGGTGTCCCTAATTAATTATAAAGCAGGAAAACATTCCATTGTCCACCTCCCCAAACAAATAAGCCCACCCACCCACCCCCACTGGTGTGAATAGGGGCACCCCATTCCACCGCCACCCCCTAAAATAAATTACCTACATACCTTAATAATAGTGAGGAGGGAGTGTTCCAAAATAAAATCTAAAACCTGTAAGATATATATATATATATATATATATATATATATATATATATATATATTTACCATCAGACGTCTAATTCTTCTAATTCTTAAAAAGGCCAATAAAAATCCATAATACCCAGCATATTAAAATAAAAATAAAAAAGACAGATAGTAACAAAAAATGTTGCAATAATAAAACATCACTTGATAAAAAAAAATCTTTATCCATGTAGTACTCACTGCAGAATGACTGCTCCTATCAGAGAAAGCCCTTTCATATGCTTCACACAATATGACGAAGAGAGCTCTGATAGGTTGGCTAGTAAATCAATTAATCAGAGTGCTCTGAAAGCTAAGACTCATTTGCAGGCAAATAGTTCTTCAAATAATCAATTAATTTACAAAAAGCAAGTGAATAATAATTTGCTAACCGGCCAAATGCATTCGGTTTACCATGGGCTGCCATGTGATTAGTGATAAATTTGCAATTACAGTGTTGCAAATTAGTTCTGATGCAGAAATCACTGATTTTACAAACTCACCTGAACCAATGTTACAGAATCTGCAGAATTCTCAATGCTCTCGGAATTCATCCATTCACACCGTATTTTGTTTATTCAGACAAAATCTGGTGTTTAGTGAATAGCACTGCAAGAGTACAGCTGAGTTTAGGATTTTTTTAAATTTGTACTTTAAATTTGAAATTCACTTTGAATTCTCACTTTAGTGAATAACCCTCAATGATTAATTTAATGGTATAATTTCCCAAAAAAAGTGATGCTAGCACTATACATAATCTAAGCAGGAAAACTGAGCTTAATTAAAAAAAAAACAAAAAAACATGTTATATAAAAAATACATGATGCTGGGGAAATTATATTATTTTGGAATTCTGGAACCATACAGGGAGTGCAGAATTATTAGGCAAATTAGTATTTTGACCACATCATCCTCTTTATGCATGTTGTCTTACTCCAAGCTGTATAGGCTCGAAAGCCTACTACCAATTAAGCATATTAGGTGATGTGCATCTCTGTAATGAGAAGGGGTGTGGTCTAATGACATCAACACCCTATATCAGGTGTGCATAATTATTAGGCAACTTCCTTTCCTTTGGCAAAATGGGTCAAAAGAAGGACTTGACAGGCTCAGAAAAGTCAAAAATAGTGAGATATCTTGCAGAGGGATGCAGTACTCTTAAAATTGCAAAGCTTCTGAAGCGTGATCATCGAACAATCAAGCGTTTCATTCAAAATAGTCAACAGGGTCGCAAGAAGCGTGTGGAAAAACCAAGGCGCAAAATAACTGCCCATGAACTGAGAAAAGTCAAGCGTGCAGCTGCCACGATGCCACTTGCCACCAGTTTGGCCATATTTCAGAGCTGCAACATCACTGGAGTGCCCAAAAGCACAAGGTGTGCAATACTCAGAGACATGGTCAAGGTAAGAAAGGCTGAAAGACGACCACCACTGAACAAGACACACAAGCTGAAACGTCAAGACTGGGCCAAGAAATATCTCAAGACTGATTTTTCTAAGGTTTTATGGACTGATGAAATGAGAGTGAGTCTTGATGGGCCAGATGGATGGGCCCGTGGCTGGATTGGTAAAGGGCAGAGAGCTCCAGTCCGACTCAGACGCCAGCAAGGTGGAGGTGGAGTACTGGTTTGGGCTGGTATCATCAAAGATGAGCTTGTGGGGCCTTTTCGGGTTGAGGATGGAGTCAAGCTCAACTCCCAGTCCTACTGCCAGTTCCTGGAAGACACCTTCTTCAAGCAGTGGTACAGGAAGAAGTCTGCATCCTTCAAGAAAAACATGATTTTCATGCAGGACAATGCTCCATCACACGCGTCCAAGTACTCCACAGCGTGGCTGGCAAGAAAGGGTATAAAAGAAGAAAATCTAATGACATGGCCTCCTTGTTCACCTGATCTGAACCCCATTGAGAACCTGTGGTCCATCATCAAATGTGAGATTTACAAGGAGGGAAAACAGTACACCTCTCTGAACAGTGTCTGGGAGGCTGTGGTTGCTGCTGCACGCAATGTTGATGGTGAACAGATCAAAACACTGACAGAATCCATGGATGGCAGGCTTTTGAGTGTCCTTGCAAAGAAAGGTGGCTATATTGGTCACTGATTTGTTTTTGTTTTGTTTTTGAATGTCAGAAATGTATATTTGTGAATGTTGAGATGTTATATTGGTTTCACTGGTAATAATAAATAATTGAAATGGGTATATATTTGTTTTTTGTTAAGTTGCCTAATAATTATGCACAGTAATAGTCACCTGCACACACAGATATCCCCCTAACATAGCTATAACTAAAAACAAACTAAAAACTACTTCCAAAAATATTCAGCTTTGATATTAATGAGTTTTTTGGGTTCATTGAGAACATGGTTGTTGTTCAATAATAAAATTAATCCTCAAAAATACAACTTGCCTAATAATTCTGCACTCCCTGTATATTATTATGGTTTGATGTGATGTTTCTAGAACCCAGTGATGGCAGGATTATCTTATAATACTGGGTTCACTATTATTAATCATCTATAAATACACATTGGGAGGTATATCATTTGAATTGCACTGGACGGGATTGTATGGTATGTATGCAGAAAAATAGGGAATATCACACTGCCAACTGGCCAGCCTACCAGTAGCAGATTACTAGAGAACCAACCAAAGATTCCAGGACATTTGCCCAAAACTAGGACCCCACAATAAATTAGGGACACTAGGTGGTATGTTATACATCCATAGATAAGATCTATATCAGTGAATTGTGTATTTAGGGAAAATACAGAAAATAAGGAACATATACATAAAGCGAAAAGGTGCAGCAAAAATCCAGTGACACTGTTATTTTCCCATGACATATAGTTCAATGATATATGTTTATTTTCAGGAAAATGTTGTTAGTCAATATCTGATACATAAGCTAATGTTAGATGATAAAAATATATTTTTATCATCTAACATTAGCTTATGTATCAGATATTGACTTTCCTTGTACCTAAAGCTGCTATAATTCAACTCTCAGCACACTGACAATTAAGCAGTGACAGCCTTGAAGACATATGGAAATTAAGACACACAAAGACTGACAAACACAATAAACTGACAAAAACATATTGGCACACTTCTAAGCATATACACACATGGTGCCAAAATTACTGACTGACACACATATTGACAAACTGAGACATGCACAGATTGCCAAACACACAGACTGACATAAAGGCACACACAAACTGACATATCCAGACAAACACAAACACACAGCCGAGGAGATGGGAGAGGCAATACTGCGATGAATCCATTGACAACTAAATGCTTATCAAAAAAGTTCTCAAATGCATTGGGCAAGTTATTAGAATCCAGTAGCAGTGGCTCATATAAATATCACCAGAAAAGTATTGCTAAAATGGGGTAACTTACGATTTGATCCAGAGGTACATATAGTGGAGCCACAGGTGGATGGAGGTAGTATTAGTTTTTGTCTGGAGACTAACAGAAAAGTAATACAGTCAGATATAATAGAAATAATAGTGTGTATTACAGATTTTGAAAATGTAATCTGTTTGTTCAAATAAAAGGCAGCACAATAAATGTGTATATATATATATATATAGAGAGAGAGAGTTATTTATATCTCAAAAACCATGTTGCTTACACCAGTAGAATGCGCACATAAGTAATAAATAGCCTCTATCCTGATCTTTGTTATAGAGCTTTCAACATATAATGTTAAATATTTTAGTGTGGAATCTGGGCTTAAAACTTGAAGACCTATACTACTGGCCGAGCCTTAACAGTTACTCACCACTACAAACCATGTAATGCTCAACAAAGGTGAATTTCTACATTTTAAGTCTAAATTTCCACTTGCCAATGGCTAGGGGTATGTAGGCGTTTTGAGGCCTGCTGAATATGTATATAAATAAATAAAATTAGATGATGAATTTGCTTTCAGCTATTCAGATATTTGTGTGTGTGTATATATATATACATGTCCCCCACATATATATATATATATATATATATATATATATATATATATATATATACACACACACAAATATCTGAATAGCTGAAAGCAAATTAATCACCTAATGATGATTGCAGAAAATGGCCTTGGGGCAGCAAGTAGGGTAAATCCGGTCCTGATTGAATACATGGGAAGTTGTCTTTCTGTATCCATGTTGCTATAGCCAGGTCATAAAATAGCTTGATGCACATACATATAATGGCTTAAGGCATCATAAACGTCTACTAAGCAGATTCCTAGACCTAGGTTGAAAGGTGTTAGAGAAATTTGGCTGTGTAAACTCACTTCGGCAGATTGGAAATGTCAGATAGTCTCTAAGTACACCACTTGGCAATTATAAACCAGATAACTGTCAAGCTGAGTTGAATTTAGCAGTTAATTCCCAAATTACCAATTTGTGTCAATGGAACTAGACAAGTATAAGTCGAATGTAGCAGGTCAGTAAAAATTTGATGGATAAATGGTAGACAATTTTACAAGTTCTTTAACCAACCAATTTCTCATTGGGAGTTAACTTTTACATGCAATCTGATCTAATTTCTATTTATTTAAATTATATTACCAATTTTTTGTAATTTTTTTTTGCTAATGAAATATTAACCAGCAATTTAACAAAATTATAAGATAGAAGCAAACCTCTAGCTAATATTCATATGTTAAAATGTGCAATTGTACAAGTTAAAAATACTTATTTAATTAGAATTCAGCCTTCAAATGTTATGTTAAAATAACAGATTTGCATAAATTATCCACTATCACTTTTTACTATTTTGGCCAAAAATGGTCAAGTGTAAATTTGCTTTGAATTCCCTTTGTCATTTCACACTGCATCTAGACTCCTATCTATTTGGCACTGTAGAGGCTGGTTTTAGTATGCTCTCTAACACTTCTCTTTGCTGTTACATAGTGTATACTATTCAATATATTAAATACTTGTATAGAATGTCATTATAATGTCTATTATTTTTTTATTTTAACTAATTGTTTATCTTGTTATTTTTATGTTTTTCAAGTGACTAAGCAGTTAATTACTTCAAAAGTGATACAAATAGTATACCAGGCAAGCTTGGAGTGGGGGAGGAGGGCGACAATAGCGAACAAGGAGAGGATGGGAACATGCTAATCAAGGGATAAATTAATGGATTAGTGGGATAAGACTACAATGAAAGAACATCAGCCACTGAGAATATGCTGGGTTGATCTTGTACTGCCCATTTGCACAGGAGGTGTGCCAGAGCCTCTGAGATCTGGGGTTTGGTATGTCACACGAACTGGAACACATTGTGATGTATGCAAACTAATAAAGTCATAGTATCACTGTGATGTACTCTGATGTACATTGTTTCCCCTTTCCCCCTTTCTTTTCTGTACCCCCATACAAAATACTATTTCCTTTTCTTTTTACAACAAAATGTATTTTCATCTGTATTTGACCAAATGAAAAATAAAAACCTTCAAATCTGAAAAAGCGATACATATAGAAAATTCGAATTATGATAATATTATGATAATATGCATCAAATTATCACTTTTAAAATATATTTTATATAACATTACATTATTATTGAGGTTATATAAAATGCTTTAATAAAATGCAACATTTATACTACATGCAGTTTGGTTTATATTTTCCTTAAACAATTTTTTAGATACCCTAAAAATATATTTATGATTTAATGTCTGCACTTTTACTGTTTGCAAGCTTGACCTGCGTGTAATGGATTCAGACTTTTTCATCTAACAATTTTTCTATTTTTTTCTCTCCTTCAGTTGTGACCTTCTCTTCCATCAGTGTTATTTGCAAATCCATAGGGAAAAGTAAAGATTATCCATTTTCATTTACTGCTGTCTTCTTAGGATAAAATACATTCAGACATCTGTAGACATAGGAGAATTGGCCTTGCAGATTTGTACCATAATTGCTATTTCCTATTTAGATTTAAAATATCCAAAATCTTGTATTGCATCAATAAATGGATTTTTATAGTATACGTTTACACTGCAAACTTACATGATTCAAGCAGTGTAAAATAAAATGGTTTCTAAATTGTCTTTTGACAGAGGATCATTACTTTATTATATGTTTTCCCTGCAAGTAAAATAACCCTTTGGCTTTATGGCATCTACACTGTAATCGGGGTCAACCCCATAAAATGGGTATAAATTGATTTTTTTGACAAGTATGCTTGAAATGTGTTTGAAAAGTACTTAGAAAGGGCAGTGCAGCTAGAATATATACCTCTTCTCTTCTGTATTAATTCAGCTGGTACTTCTTACAAACGCATTTCAACTTATGGCGTCATAAATTATAGTCCAAAGGCATAACACTAGAGCTATGGTCACAAAATACTGTATAAAGCAAAAAAAAGTATGTCGGATATCGTGTTAAAATAAGTCTTTTATATTGTTAACTGGCATAGGTGAAAAAATTAATCTCCAGCATTAAAGTGGATGTGCCATGATTTTACACATTTTTACATTATAAAAATTTGTCTTAAATTTAGTTTTGTCAAATTTTTATTCTGTAAAATCTTCTGTGTATTAATAGATAGGTCTACGGACCTGATTAATAGTAGACATCCAAGCCTGTAAGAAGGGACAGACTTTGAAACCATCATGTCATTCCTTCCTGTCTGACTTCCTAGAGTGTACACATTAGTAGTTCAACTGCAAAGCATATTATAATATTATAATTGAACACTTTGCAACGTGGAGTTTATTTACATATTTGGTCCCCAAGCAAATGAATGTCAGTAACTTTAAACAGACAATAGGTGTCTACAGGTTGTTGGTTGTCATGGGTTGAGTGGTCCTGGGGCACCCAGACTGATCTGGGAGTTCCGGGCTCCACATTCCCTATGTGCACATATATAGCGATTTTCGCTATATATATGTGTACCTGCGGCCGGGCCCCAACTACCTGTTTGCTGCAGAGTGGTCCCAGCACACTCTGACTTCACTTCCAGGCAGCTTCCCTGCCTCTAATGCTCGCGAGCCCCGTGACAGGCCTGTCTCGCGAGAGTTAGAGACAGAGGAGCTGCTGGCAAGTGAAGTCAGAGTTTGCTGGTCCTTTGCATCGAACAGTGCCTGGCTCAGAGAACCATGACACCTGACCAGTATGGAATGCCATCTTCCCCCCTCCCTGGCTACAGGTAACAAGCAGTGAGGGGTGAATAAAATAAAACATTTGTTTTTAAAAAATGTTACAAAAAATAAATGTGCTCTCACTTCTCCCCCACCAATTGCAGCCCCTATTTTACACGCACTACATACCTAATCAAACACACACTCTGCATTCACTACATACACACTAAATGCACTACACAAATACACATTCTACATTCATTATATACACACTACATCCACTACATAAACACACACTGCATTCACTATACACACTACATTCACTACACAACCATACACTCTGAATTCACTATACACACTATATCCACTACACAAACACGCACTCTGTATTCTTTATATACACACTACATCCACTACACACAGTCTGCATTCACTATACACACTACATCCACTACAATCACACTCTGCATTCACTGTATACACACTACATCCACTACACAAACACACACAATGCATTCACTATACACACTACCTCCACTACAAAAACACACTGCATTCCCTTTACACACTACCCCCACTACACAAACACCCACACTGCATTCACTTTACACACACTACATCCTCTACACAAACACACACTGTACTCACCATACACACTACATGCCTACGCAAACAAACACTGCATTCACTATACACACAACATGCCTATGCAACTACACACTGCATTCACTATACATACTCTTCAGTCACTATACACATTACATGCCTACACAAATACACACTGCATTCACTATGCACACTACATCCACTACACAAACACACAATCTGAATTTACTATACATAAACACACTACACACCCTCTGCATTCACTACACACACTACATCCACTACATCAACAAACACTCTGCATTCACTATACACACTGCATCTAATACACACAAACACACTTTGCATGCACTAGACACACACTACAACCACTACACAAACACACAGTCTGAATGCACTAGACACACGGTATCTAATACATACAAACATTACATCCATCACACAAACACATACTCTGCATTCACTATACACACACTACATCCACCTCATAAACACACACTCTGTATTTAAAATACACTACATACATTACACAAACATACACTCTGCATCCACTCTACACACTACATTACAAACGCATGCTGCATCCACTATACACATTCATCATCTACTAAAAACACAATACATTCAGTATATCCACTGTAGCCCTGTGGTTGGACTTGCGGGCGGCCCTGTGGGTAGACTCGGGTGCGGCCCTTTTGCCAGCATCAGAGTTTGGCCCCAGGGGCTTAGACCTTGAGTTGTGTTAGGGGTCCCAAAATTTCTGATGGCAGCTTTGGGTGTTTAGATGTGAAGTCATATCCCAACACCTCCTACCTTTCAGCCACATGTTGACTGGAAGCAGGGGAGACTGTGCTGTATGGTGCACAGTGTGTCTGCTTCCCAAAGACTAGGAAATAGGACAAGTGTGCCTCTTTGACACAGGAAAGGGGAGAGCTGGAGAAGAAATTGCATGGAGTGTATGATATATAAGTATATTTGTTCATGTCCGTATGTGAGAATATGTGCTTGAGCATCTATCTGTTGTGTTCATACAATAATCTGCCATTATTGTGTATTTGCATTTGTGTGTGTATTTGTATATAGGGCTGGCTTCACTCACCTGAACATGCACACATGGGGTGCTGCTGGTGGCAAATTTAATCAATACACAAAAACTCAAAATCCAGCACACTTACCTATCCACTAAACTGCTCATTCAATGTTGACAGATTTTGTTTTTTGCTTTTTAAAAACACCTGATCTAGGCACCTGATCTAGGCAAAAAAATAATGGGGGTTTGCATCACTGGACCACAAGGCATTAATGAGGACTCATGTCCGTAGGCAAGAGAGAAGGAAGCAAAAAATAAGCTAGCAACAATTTTG